GTGAGGGGGCTATGGCTCCCGGGCTAGTCCCAGATTCAGCAAATACTGCAAACGGGGTCAGCCGTTTTATCCCTACAAGAGAAGAGAGCATTTCCACCTTGGCCATCAGGATGCAGAAGCTGTAGGTTTTGCGTGACCCTCAGTAAGACGGACCCCAGGAGAAGGAGGAGCCTTGTGAGTCCCCACCGCCAGCGCACAGAGAGGCCTCTCCCGGAGGAGCTGCTGCTCCGCGGGGTAAGCGCTCACGTAGCTGCTGTGTTGGACGCCCAAGTCTGACGTGTGCTGGGTTGAATTAACCCCTGAAGCAGAAAGGGTCACAGCTAGGCCCCTGCCAGCGGGACCACTGTCTCCACGCTTGCTTCCACCCTGTTCTCAGGGAAAGCTCCTGTGCAGGTGCCCTTGGCAGAGCCCCCGAGCCCCTAGAGCTGCACAGCCCAGAGAAGGGCCCCCAGCGCTGTGCAGGCTGTGAGCGATGGGCCCTGCTAGGAAAATGGGGGACCCCTGCTAACAACTCAACAGCAAGTTAATCCAGACAGGTAATGGTGGAGAGGTGGCCTGTGAAGAGGCTGGCTGTCCTCCGGATGGACCCTGTGGCTTCAGGACAAGTTCCTGCAGCCGGCACAGGAGCCGGGGTCAGTCGGCGTGTGAGGAGAAAGCGTGCCTCACATCCAGAGCATGAGCGGTTGCCTCTGGGCAGGAAGCCAAGTGTTGGGGGGAAGAAAAGCCAGGTAACTTCATTTCCAGAAGCAACCAGTCCCTCTGGGGGCAAAGCAGGGGCCCCTTCCCCAGTGCTGCCTGGGGTAGAGGCACGGCTGCTGCTACCTGAGGCCACCTGCCTCCGGCTGCTGCTGCAGTGCTTGGGGCCGAGCTGTGTGCCAAAAGACGATTGGGGGCCTGGAGGCTGCAATTGGGTTGAGAGGTGTCCCTGAAGGAGTGAGGGAGGATGTAAGCCTGCAGATACCCTGAGAAAATGCCCCTTAAGTAGATCTTTTGTGTTCAAAAGCTTTACTGAAATTAAAGGGACGACAAGTCGACCGCGAGCCAGCA